CAACTGGAGAGCACTTGAGTGCTCGCGCGGCCRGTTTCAATTGTTATGAAACGCATTTTATGAAACGCATAGTACTACGCGTAAAATAACAAATGAACTTTCTTTAAATAAGGGGTTGAGAACGTTAAATTAAATTACAATACGCTAACACCACCTGCCTAGAAATGAATACTGCAGCTTTTGCTTGAATTTAATGTTCTGAATGTTGGCAGGGGAGGATGTCCTTCTTCCTCTTTTTTAGACCCATTCTTCCTCCTCTTTAAAAGGCATGAGACTGAAATGATACTTGTTTTAGGAAGGAAGGGCAGCACTRCCAAATGAAGAATGGGAATAATACTAGTAGGATCTACTACATAGCTAGTAGGCCTATGGCAACATACTAAGATTGCAACTGGTGTTCTTACTACTAAATCAACGTTCCATACATTAACACTAAAAGAATTCAGAAGGTCGATATAACATTTGCAATGCCTCAATTAAGGAAAGTTCAAGAATTGTTACTACTACTATTTTACGCATAGTATTATGCATTGCATACCAATTAAAATTATGTTTCACAGGGCATTCAGAATGATACTAGCACTGTAAATCTGACATTAGGAATGTTAAGGTAATTTCAAGTGATATGCAATGCATCATACCTAGCTAATAGCATATAAAAGGCTGCATAACAGCAGCAGTAAAGCTATATAAGATGAAAGTGGTGATAACTGTATCAAAAATACTAAGCATATGAAAATTTTAAAGGTCCTCATGCCTCCACAACCACTCCTCAGAGGGAGGTGTTGCCCCTTGGAGAAGCTAGTACTACTAGTACTACTAGGAACACTCATCTCCCCAGAAATTCTTATGGTTCTGGCCCATATAGTGCCTCGTCTAGTAGCAGTACTAGTTCACAAGCTTAAACATAATATTAAGATTTTTACTAATTGTATAATTTTTGAGTAGCATGTCTGGACCGGATCAGTTTTCAATGAGGATTCTGAACAGTATTACTATTAGTACCACTAGAAGCTACTTTCTCAGATATCAAATGAATTGCTGTGCTATCATTTTATTGTCAACCAAGAATGACCATGTTGTTACTAGTAGCAGTACAACTAGTACTGCTGGAGAAGTAGTGAGTGAAACATACGAAGAACAGACAATTCAGATTTTTGATAGGGACTCGACTGGTTTCATAACATTGGAAGAAGGACAGACTATTTCTACTAGAATGACAGTACCAKTTTTGTTGTACTAATTCTGCCAACCCTGTGTCAGCACATCACATTTCAAACTACAGACACCACATCCAATGATATTCAAGAAGAAATACTTACTACCTGATTCTCAACTGTATCAGCAATGTACACATAATGATTGAAAATCAGGGGGTGATTGGAAGTGCTCCTGTCCATGAGGTCTTCTTTCAGGTAAACTTTTTGCWGTGTGATGCAGTAAAAATAAAATGAAAAGAGTGGTGTTATCATTAATATTAAAAGAAATCTTAATATTATTTTTAAACCCATGAACCAGAAGAGGTGCCAAGCTGACCAGAGCCTTTTGTACTTCTCCTGACTAGGAAGAAGAATGCTCCTATTGCCCCAAGGGGTGGTACCTCCCTCCAAGGAGGTTTTGTGGAGGTGTGTCCAATATTATGCATACTTACATGCCAGTTAAGGCCTGAGGCTGAACTCAGCATACATATAGGGTGGTGGTTTGCAGTCTGGATTTACAAGATCCATGCCATGATAAGTTCCTAGGACGTTACACCACAGTGAACAAGGAAACAGGTGCCAAGCACACCGCCAGCAAGCCAATTAAGGCAAGTTCACCTGCAGTTTACAAGGGCACACAAAGCCAAAGAAAAAATATAGCCCACCAAAATTTGGTCTTATWGTGTAGATACTGGTTGTGGATATGTTGTGGAGGTAAAAGTGGTGCAAAAAGTGTCAATGGTTGCAGTCTTACTGCAGGAACAGCTTCCTGTGTTAATTCTTCTTAGAAAAGGGATCATGGACAATTTTATTGATGGTAATGCAAGCAGGATGCTGTTTAGATGAGAGGGCACAGGTGAAGAGACTGGAGGTAGATCTGAAAGATCTAGATTRGGATTTGGGTTGGTGTTGTTGTCATCTGGCATGAATGCTGGAAACAACAACACCCTGACCAGAATCACCATCTGTCTGTAAAAATTACTGATGGAACTGGTGCTTGAAGTTGAGGCTAGGGAATCTACTTCAAACTGAGTAGCTATGCAGCATGTACTGCAAGTATTGTTCTACAAAGGAAAGGGCTGGGTTGGATACTTGGGGCTTCAGTTGGTGTTGTTGCTGCCTTGCACAAATGCCAGAACCAACAACATCATGACAAGAATTCTCTTTTTCCAGTCTGTAAAAAATGCTCGAACTAGTTTATGGGGAGGAAGCTGGGCAATATTCTTAAACTGAATAGTATTTTGCATATACTACAGGAATTGTTCTTCAAAAGAAGAGTCTGGGTTGGATACTGGGACGCTTGGTTGTCATTTTTGTTCTTTTTGCTGCTGTTGGTGCTGTTGTTGGTGCTGTTGTTGTTGTTGTTGTTGTTGTTGTTGTTGTTGTTGTTGCTGTTGGTGTTGCTGTTGCTGTTGTTGTTGTTGTTGTTGTTGTTGTTGTTGTTGTTGTTGTTGTTGTTGTTGTTGTTGTTGTTGTCAGATGCAAATGCCAGAAACAACAGCATCATGACCACAAGATACAGAAGCTTCCAAAGGAACAGGAGATGGAGATGGATGTATGAGACCAGCAGTACTAAAAGGGGGTATCAAGTATTTAGCAAAGTGAGCACATAGTCCAAGCATGCAAAGATCTAGAAAACATTTTGTAAATTTCTTTTTGTGCTGCTTTGGAGGTGTTTTGCTAACTGGTCCAAGATGTTTGCCAAGTTGTTACTAGTAGTATGTATTGGTCACCAAAACTTCTTTCATGAAAAATCATTTCTCATCAATATCTAGTACTTTGTCATATATTTGATCAAATACTTCATCGCCATCAATATGAAAAAAGCAAATAAGATGCTTTCCATTTTGTTTGCTTCTTTTGTGAAAGGCTTCAATGCACTGCTGTGCCACTTGATTGTTCCACAACAAACAAGACACCTCTGCAAGCTGGTGGCTGGAATATATAGCTGCTGATAGGGTCCTTAGATCTCCTCTTTGCTTCTATGGAATTTTTCCAAAGATCCTTATGCTTCTTACCACACTGTTACTTSGTACATCACCTGCTGGGCATGTTTCAACATCCTGAGTTTCTTTGTAGGGCTTCCAAAATCTTCCACAAGATCATAGGAGAAAGTTTGAATGCTTCAGCAGCAGTTTTTTTGGAACCCTTAACAAATTTGCCATTCCCTACTGGTACAGAAGCAGTCTGTGTTGTTGCAGAATGGCTTGACTTTGATTCTTAGTCAAAGGAGTTATATTTGCAGCAGCCAACTTGTTTGCAATGGGCAACTCAATTGACTCAAGGAAATTCCTTGCCTTGCATCTGTTACTGGAATCACTTGTTGATTTTTGCTTTTGAAAGGAGCAAAGTTCAACATCATTCTACCACAATGTCCTCCTTCCTGCTGATACTTCTTTTGTTATTAATACTGTCCTAATATTACCACATAAAAAAGTCTTCAAGTAAATAGTGATACAAAAGGAAGTCAACATCATGCCACCACAGTATGCTCCTTGTCATTCAAACTACTCTCCTTGCTGTTTATGGTACCATCATCATTACTAATGATGATGGTTGGCTTTTGGGCACTTTGCAGAAAGGAGACCTTTTGTGAATTTAGCTATGAAGGTTTTGATTTTGTAACTAATCTCTTTGTTGTAACTACTAGTTGCTTGGGAACTCAGATGAGAAAGAACACTTGCGGTAGGAGTGGGGAACTCAAACCAGTGTGTCTTCAACATCTAATGGGTTTTTGCAACTTCATGTGCAACTTCTTGAAATTTTGTATCCAGATCATAATCAAAATCTTTAAAAAGTGAATCCATGTGGGGTACTCTTGGCTGAACGTGGATCTTCAGACCATGAAGACATTGGCCTAGTTTGCTGAGAGTGTCCTCAAGTTCATGAATGCAATCCAAAAAAGATGGAACATTGAGCAACTTGTAGAAGTTAATCTTTTCAGGGTTCTCAGGAAACAGAAACTGAGATTTTTCTACCACAGATGACTTGAACTCCTTTGTTAGATTCTCAACACCAGGCAACCCTGGGCAGTGAACTTTAAAAAAAAAGTAGAATGATTGTCACAAGTCTGTGGAATATGTCTCTTTACAGCTAACTTGTGTATTGGTGCCTGCATACACAGTGATAGAGTAACAACCACTTGTGACCTATCTCCTTTGGCTGCTTCCTGTTCCCAACGTAATAGGATTTCTATTGACTAGAAACACGACCATTGGGAATTAAATTGAAGGGATGCAGCTTGTCAAAAAAAGGGGGAGAGTACACCAGGATACAAAAAGTAGGGACGCTAAGGCAAGTGGTAGAYGGCAATCACTTTTTGTAATGTGTTGCTTCCTCATTACTGCTGTTGTGCTTGAAGAATGTATTGCTGACATCCTCAAACAATATTTCCTAGTAAGAGAAGAATGTGTGTGATTCTCCTTTCTTTCCTCTCTTCATGAATATGGTAAGGGCTGGGTTCTCAATACCAATAGTGGTTGTAGTACAGAACTACTAGATCTACAATCATCTTCCAGGGACATTAGGAATTGACAACTATCAGGTACTCCAAGCTACATAATTTATGACTACTACTTTAGCAATATCTTGATATTCCTTTTTCCCTGTTTTGGTTGCTTCTTTCAATTTGGTGAAGTATGGTGATGCACTACACAGGATCACAGGAAGCAACATTAGCAAAAATAGCCACAGCTTGATCCCAACAGGGTTTACTTTTTGTCATGTTGAGGAATTGGACAAAGATAGGAGTGCAAATGCTACAGGCTTGGTTTCTTAGACCTAAACCATAATCGTGATCATTCTTTGGTGTTTACTTTAATTACTAGGTACGTTTTTGGCGTTTTCTCTTCTTTTTTGTTCCTTTCTTTTTGGGACTTTCGGTAACTGGCAAAAATGCTTCAACCTTCTGGCTGTATCCACGTATTAATTCTCTGGCCTCGTTGTCTTCATCCTCGCCCCTTTTCTGTTCTCTACTGTTTCCATTATATKGTTTTGTAAAATGCGAATACCTGTCWAATCTCTTCATGTCAGCTTGATTTTTTCTTTGACTTCGACTGACCTCTAGTTTCAACGCATCAATTATGTATTGCAGGATAGAAAATTTCTGTTCCTTTGACAGTCTCTTTTGAAGTGTCCGCCAGCATTCATGAAATATGGTGACACAATTTTCGATCTGGAAACAAAATTTCAGATCTATCGACCCACCATCCTCTGTTTGAATGAACGACTCTTGTGACAAAGGTGTTCTACACGAAGGAGAAATTTTTGGATTTGAATGTTTCACGGCACCATATCGGAAAAAGAAAGAATAAAGTACCTCTCCCGGAGTATCATCTCCTCCCATGGCAAGGTGATGCTCAATCTAGGGAAAGATGGGGGAGCGATTCACGAAATAGTCAGTGAAGGTTATATGTGTGAGAAAATTCACAGTCTTGGATACAAGAGAATGTTTTGACGCGATTGATGACTTACATGGCTTGCGACCAAAACATAGAGCGAATATGATCCTAGTCCTCCTGTAAATGGCTTGTCGAGTCCCTGCTGACTGAGCAAGACCTTCAAGAACACTACGGTCGTTGAAAAACTGAATAATTGGTTGAGAAATTAATTTAATCATACCATTTGTTTGTTTAAGATCGGATGGAGACGGTCAAAAAGAAGCCAAAAGGATTCTAGATAGATTTTCTTACCTTTTGAACCTAGATAGTTGCGTTGAAGCGTAACTACTGGTATCTGTCCCGTTGTGTCCACCCAAAGCAATATCACATTCGAAACCGAAATTTGAAACCATATTGATGATAGGAACACGAGCCTTGCTGCGTACATGTATCTGACTCGAGAGCGATCTGAGTGATCTTGTCAGCTTGAATAACGACCGAACAACAAGCGTTCTCGTTCTGCCACTAGGGCCAAGCTTATCTCTCATTTTATGCTTGTTTCCCTCTACGACAAACGACACTTCCATTTCAGACTCGTCCAATTTTGCCTCAACGCTACAAGTGGTAGACGATGACAAACTAACCAAGCTCTGACCCCTTGGTCTTTGTTTGACTGCGCCATCATTATGGATCATTTCTTCATCGTTTTTGTTGTGGTCGTTGCAATCAAAATTGCCGTGATGGTTTTCTCTACTAACAGGATCAGAGCGTGCCTCTAAATTGTTTGTTTCGACTTCAGGATTATTATGGCATTGATGAGGAAAATAGTTTTCTAGCTTGTCCGCACTGTCATCATCCGTACTTTCGCTTTTGGAGTCGTAGTCGCTATTATGGTTCTCTTTGCTATCACTGAAAGATTCGTCACTGTTACAATCGTTTTGGACGTTGTTGACAAAGCGTGGTCTCAAAGTAGTATCATCCAACGGACTATCACATATTTCATCAGACGATTTTGAAGGCGTATCTCCAGTACGGTCGAGAACAAACAGCGGTGATTTGGCGCTTCCTTCTCCACATATTTTTTCGGTGGCAAGATCAGCGGATACCCTTTCTAATAAATCCTTGTCCTTTCTCTCATTTTTTGCTGCATCGTCGATTAGCGCTTTCCATTTCAAAACACGTTCTTGTTTCTTCCTACTTTTATCATTTGGGTCATCTTCGGCTGTGAGTTTGTCTCCTTTCATGACGAGATGCCTTTTCAATTGATTGTTGTCGTCGCCCTCCTCCTCGTCGTCATCGGGCTCAACAACTCCCCATATCGCGAGATCAATGTCGCTGTCAAAAATACATACAGGTTGGGCTGCAAATGAACCAAAAACCTGGCACTGTGAATCATCCACTCCAAAAAGATTTTTGCAAGATTTTTTAATTTGATGAATCATATGCTCTCGGGCCATTTTTTCATGTCGAGACAGTCTGACATAATCAGAAAAGAATTCTAATTCTGCATTTAGAAAATTCAACGTCGATTCATTGACGCAGAAGGCACCGTTCAGAATTTTTCTCGTTTGCTGCTTTCCCCCTTGCTGGTTTTTCTTTTTCTCCCCTCGAGGTAGGCTCTTCCCCAACAGCCATGGTACTTTTGTCGACCCTGGACCAACGACTGGAAATCTAGCAATAAATAGCCTCTTCCCCCTTTTCCGTGCAACAAATCCCTTCTTATTATTCTTCTTTCTTCCCTTTTCAAGTTTTTTAAGCTTCCGCGCCTTGGTTGCATTATCTCCGTAGATATAGCTTGTAGGACAACCACTCCCAGGGGGCGGGTTCAAAGGTTGACGAATGCTATTGATGTTATGAACAGAAAATTTCGACTTTTTGGGGTGTCGAAGCTTCGTTCCTTTTTGTGTCTTCTTGTTTTCCTTGCGTGATGAACGACCCATTTTTCTCCGACGAATTGACTTTCAGTCAGCAACGACGACAAAGAATACAGAAAAACTTGAAAGAAAGTGGAGCCGGAGCGTTTCTCTTTCGACGAAAGGAATTTCTGTCAGTAAAAGAAACTTCAAAACTGCAGAACTCAAGGTCTCAACGATAACACTAAGATAAACTTGCTTCAATTTCCTTTCAAGTCGTGGGGTACCGTACGTACATTGTTGTTACGGTACGTGTTACGTACTCTTGTTGATGGGAGATCCGGCCTGTTACGGTACTACCTTACTGTGATGAGAATGTTCATCGTAATGTTCACGTCGGTCCTGTGTCTGAGCACTGAAAGCAGAGTATCGTACGAGCTTATGTACGATTATGTACGATACTACTAATGATGGTATTTCGTATTTCTTACTACGTATTACAGTAACGATGATATCCTTTTTTTCTTTTTTCCCCTTGCTTCCTCATCTCGAGGAAACTTTTGTTGGTACCGCAAGGTATCTGCTGGATGTCTTGCTGTTGTCCGTTTGTCGCTTAGAGCTGGCTCCTGAGTCAAGTTAGTCAAGAAATTAGTCAAGAAACTATTAGTAATGATGATATTACTACTAGGTTGGAGCTTGAGCATACTGTTTTCAGCTCAATTGGTCAGATCTGGAGGATTGGGTATTCCTCCTCTAAAGTCTGTGTCAGGGGGTGTTAAGTCCCTCCCCAGGGACATACTAGACTCAGTTGAAGAACTTCTTGCTGGGACCATGGCTTGCGCTGAAAATCAAAAGAACAGTGTTCTTGAGTACTACTACTACTTCTAGTAGTATCATGCTCTGAGGCTCTGAATAAGGAGATTCACTTGCTCATCAAATAAGGAGAGCACTCCTCAAAGAATATTAAATAGTATCTTGTTCAATCCAAGGCACAAATGGATGGTATGGTTGTGGCTTCTTAATTATTTCCAGAACAACAACACAAGGTAGTAGACACAAACAACAGACTACCATCAATAATATCAAACTGTAAATGAAATAATATTCCTCACATATTCAAAACATGAAAAATTAGAGTTCATAGCACAAGAAGCCACCATAATTTTCTATGAAGAAAATAGCTGAAAAGATAAAAAATCTTAATACTATTATGGCCAACCTTGTGAACTACTAGAAGAGATACTTGGTGGACTGGTAGGACCATAAGAATGCTCCTATTTGTTGCTCCCAGGCACCACACCTCTCTTATAGGAAATGTGATGGAGGCACAACCCAGGTAAATACAGAGTATATGGGTTTCTCTGGATTAAAAGAATTGAGTCAAGGTAGTTTCTTGGATTGATCAGGAGGAGGAAGGAGCAGTAGGAGCCAAAGAGGTGTTTGGTGCTGTGGCTTGTTTGTCCTCTTTCTTCTTGAGTAGACATCACAGACCAGTAAATATTGTGTGCTGTTTTCCAGCAGTTGTTTAGAATTAGATAAGGATGAACAATACTGAGTAACTGATGTTTCTATTCCATATCAGAAGATGCAGCTTCTTGTTATACTGGTGGATGTGATCTTCAATATTTGCATAATTTGCCAGGGTCAAAATTAGCAACATCATTTTCAATCAACTAATTGCCTTTGTCATCTGTCTCCCTAGTAGCACCATCAGGCTTGTTTGTTTTTTCTGAATTCTTGAATATTTCAAGTGTTGTGCTAAACAAAGGACGAGTAGAGTCTCCCTTGGTCACCACTCTCCTGTAGTCTTCTCTAATTGTCTAGCTGAAGGCATAAAATAGTAACCCAAAACCCATGTATAACACAAAAATTTGTTGCACCTAATTTGAATCCCAAAAAACAATGAATTACTTCCTCCAGACCAGAATATGTGTACCATGTGACCTTTTTGGGTGGTCCTAAAAGAGCACCCCCCAATTACTGAGCAATTTTTTTGARTTTCTGGCAGTTGGATTGAAACAATGACTGTGTAATGACCATGTATAATGCGTATGATTAGTACCAGAGAGTCAAAACTCCTGTCTTAATCAAGAATAGTTTTAAAGTCAATTAACATGACAAAAAATAAGAAGAACCACAATGATACCAATTATCTCTTCTGAACAAGAATGATCCTATGTGAAAGTTCCTCACGCTTAAAGCCGAGAATTATAAGCTCAGAAAATGCTATGTCTCTGCTTTCTATTCTTGCTGCAAGTCCTCTTCTTGTACCTAAATGACTGGTGGTGGAACCCTTTCAACCAGTAGAGTGAAATTTACTATTGCTTAAAGCTGAGAATGATAAGCTCATACTAAAATACTATGTCTCTGCTTTCTATTGCTGCAAAACCTTTTCTTGTACCTAAATGACTGGTGGTGGAACCCTTTCAACCAGTAAAGTGAAATTTACTATGCAATAAAAGTTGCTATGTGTGAGAGCTTCTTCCAATCTTACTATTTGCATACCATTAAAGTGGATAGCAGAGAAAAACACTGTTAAATGAGGTCCAAAGGACAAAAAAAGAAACATTCAAATTGCCCAAATACTATTCTTGAGCTTCTTATTTTGACAGTACTAGTGGTACTACTACTACTACTACTACTACTACTACTACTAGTAAAGGTATAATTTTCATATCGAATGTTTTCAAATGAGCGAAATTACACTTCGGTTCTGAGAATTATCACCTAGAATCCCTACTGATTCCTACGTAGTTCCTACCTGACCAGCACCTTCTGGCATCCGAACACCATGGTGACATCCCCTTCTGAAGGGGAAAATCCACCTCCCTGGCTCCATTCAAGAAGCAACCAAGCAATGTAACCAAGACCATTCCAAGTACATCAATCTCCCCCAGCTGGTAGCAGTTTTTCCAGCTGGATCCATCCCCAGTTCCTCCAGAAGCACCGAGTGGTATCTTCCGGTGTTGAAGTTGTTGTTGTTTCCGACATTCGTGCCAACATTTGTGCCGGAGAGCAACAACACCACCCCCAGCCCCCAGTATTCAACCAAGACCTAGTGAAGAACAAAGCCTGGAGTATATGCTACATCATACTCAGTACAGAAGATTCCCCAGCATCTCCATGCAGTTCCAGTAATTCACGGACTGGAAGAGTTTTCTGGTCTGGTTGTTGTTGTTTCTGACATTCGTGCCAGAATGCAACAACACCAATCCCCAGTATTCAACCGAGACCCATCCTTTGAAGAACAATGCCT